ATCTTCTTTATTCATTCATCTGCTGATGGACACTTAGGTTGCTTCCATATCTTGGCAACTGTAAATAATGTTGCTATGAATATGGTGGTGCATGTTGTCTTTTTGAATCATTGTTTTTTTTTTTTCAGATTTATACTAAGGAGTGGAATTGCTGGGTCATATGGTAGTTCTATTTTTAGTTTTTTAGAAACCTCCATACTGTTTTCCACAGAGGCTGCACCAATTTACATTCCCACCAACAGTGTATGAGGGTTCTCTTTTCTCCACATCCTCACCAACATTTTTTTTGTTGTTGTTCTTTTTGCCAATAGCCATTCTGATAGGTGTGAGGTGACACCTCATTGTGGTTTTGACTTGCATTTCCCTGATAATAAGCAATGTTGAACATCTTTTCATGTGCCTATTGGGCAACTGCATGTACTCTTTGGAAAAATGTCTATTCAGGTCTTCTGCCCATTTTTAAATATGGCTGTTTTTTTGATGTTGAGTTGTATGAGTTGTTTATATATTTTGGATATTAACTCCTTATTGGTCATATCATTTGCAAATATTTTCTCCCATTCACTATGTTGTCTTTTTGTTTTGTAATGGTTTCTTTTGCTGTGCAAAAGCTTTTAAGTTTAATTAGTTCCCATTTGTTTATTTTTGCTTTTATTTCTGTTGCCTTAGGAGCAGATGCAAGAAAATATTGCTATGTTTTATGTCAAAGAGTGTTCTGCCCATGTGTTCCTCTGGGACTTTTATGGTTTCCAGTCTTACATTGAGGTCTTTAACCCACTTTGAGTTTATTTTTGTATGTGGTGTTAAAGAATGTTCTAATTTCATTCTTTGACATGTAGCTGTCCAGTTTTCTCAGCACCACTTATCGAAGACTGTCTTTTCTCCATTGTATATTCTTACCTCCTTTGTCATAGATTAATTGACCATAAGTGTGTGGATTTATTTCTGGGCTCTCTCTTCTCTTCCATTGATCTATGTGTCTATTTTTGAGCCAATACCATAGTGTTTTGATTACTGTAGCTTTGTAGTATAGTCTGAAATCAGGGAGTGTGATTCCTCCACCTCTGTTCTTCTTTCTCAAGACTGTTTTGGCAATTTGGGGTCTTTCATATTTCCACATAAATTTTTAAATTGTTTCTAGCTCTTTGAAAGCTGCCATTGGTATTTTGGTAGGGATGGTATTGAATCTGTAGATTGCATTGGGTAGTATGATCATTTTAACAATATTAATTCTTCCAATCCAAGAACACAGTATAACTTTCCATCTGTGTCATCTTCAGTAGTTTTCCAAGTTCAGGTCTTTCACCTCCTTAGGCAGTTTTATTTCTAGATATTTTTATTATTTTTGATGTAGGTTGTTCTCAAAATATTCAATACAGGTCTTAATTGGGGGTCGGACTCTAGGCCTGAAAAGTCATATGGACTTTGAGACTGTTTATACATGAAGGGACCTTTGACTACCTGGAGCCAAACCCCTTGATTTATATGTGAATAAACTGAGGACCAAAGAGAGGAATAGAGAAGAGGACCCTTAGAAGTCACTCGGGGCAGATGCAGAAGTGAAAGCCAGGTTCTTCTCCCTCAACAAACATTATTTCACCAAATATTTATCGAGCACACCATACTAAGCAATGGAACAGTCTAAGTAGACAAAGAAAACCCAGAGTCTCTACCCTTGAAAGTTTAGGAAAACAAGTCACCACCTTCAGTAAGAATGAAGTCATCATAGAAAACAAATTTAGGGTTACCAAAGGGGAAAGTGAGGGGATAAATTAGGAGTATCGGATTAACAGATACACACTACTATACATAAAATAGATAAGCAACAAGGATTTACTGTACAGCACAGGAAACTATATTCATTATCTTGTAATAACCTATAATGGAAAATAATCTGAAATATACACACACACATATATAATATATATATACTGAATCACTTTGCTGTACACCTGAAACTAACACAATATTGTAAATCAACTATACTTCAATTTAAAAAAAAGAATGGAGTTGAGCTACACTGTGCCCCAATACAATTTATATACCATGATATAAATTGTATATCAGATATTAATACCATGTCCATTGATGCTTGGAGTTTTGAAGTTGTGAGTGACAAGGATGTCAGAAAATGGAATGTGAGCTGAGCTCCTGCTCACACAGCTAGAGGGCACTGCCTTGTGTAAAGCAGAACGTCTCCCCAAGAACTTATGAGATGATGGGTCCTTTTCCTTCCTTCCCAAAACCAAAACAATGCTTTCTACTTAAAAACACTGACAACAGATTTGTTTTGGGATGAAAACTTTCAGTTTTAGCCAGTGTGCCTTGCTGCAATAACACATGATTGTGAGCCATTTCCTCTACATCCATTATAGGGAAGATGGGTGGATCAAAAAACCATAATAGCATTGGGATTTTATCAGATAGGGTTAGGAGAATTTTCTAAAGGTCTCAGCAGTCTCCCAAACCAAGACCACCGCATGACTTGGGCACCAGTTGAACTCCTGTGCTAGTAGCAATTATTGAAAATGTATGCTGAGCTCTGTCAAAACCTTTGTCAAGGCACCCTGTTGGTGGTGAGCATTGGGACTTACCACAATGTTGACAGAACCCTCTGCTTGTTAACTATCTATGTTGATAAAGAATGTTGACATTTTATTGGGACACTCACATGGAACTATTTCCAATAAATAGTAAGTGAAAAAAACAATTCTATTTCATGGGAACGTGTTTTTGTAAAACACTGTGACAGAATGACAGTGTATGTATATGCATATGTACCTGTATGGAAAAGTCACAGGAAAGATGTATATGGATACCTATCAGACTATTCAGTGTCCTCTGTGGTAGGGAAGCATGCTGAGGCAAGGGGGACTTTCAGTTGAAGGCTATATATTTATGTATCATTTGAGCATTTTACAACAAGAATGTACCAATGTACTGCTTGTATAATACACGTAAAGGGTTTTGACTAAAGAAAACAAAAAACACGTCCCAAAACTGCAGGTTCTTACAAAAGTGGAAGTCTTTTACATTTGTGTAACATGTTTTTCACAGCCTAATTACAACCATCCTTTTCTTTATCCCAGATAGACAGAAAAGAAAGCAATTTAAGTTGCCTAAAGCAACATTCAGACATCACCAAGCCTCCAGAAAGATGAACGATTATAAAATAATGCTTTAATAAATATACAAGGGCTTACACTGCAAATCGCATGTTTTTCTACAAAGTAGAAAATACATTGGGTCACTATATGTTTTTTGGAGGTCCGCTGTTGGGATCCATGTCACCTGTATCACTTAATTCATTCACCCAATTAATATTTATTGAGTGTCTGCTATGTGCCAGGCTATCCTTATTCAATGAGAGTCAGCTGGAATTTTATAGAGCTAAATTAAAGAAGTGGTGAAGACAAGAGTTAGTATTTTCAGGAAAAAGAAAAAGAAATCACCAAAAACTGCTTTTCTGCATCACTCAGAATCTAGTATGCAGGTCTGCCAAAGCTTATTGCCTTTTATTATAATCATTTGCTTGGCCACCATGCTGTCCTGATGGACTCTGACTTCCTTGAAGGAAAAACAAATCTTTGTAGTATCTGTGGTGCCTGTATTGTGGCTTGAGTCTGCAGTACAGCAGGCATACATTCATTCATTCAATCCATCTACAAATATTTATTTGGCACCCACTACAGGTCAAGCATTGCACTAGGTCCTTAAGATATAAGATAAGTGACAGTTACTTTCCAGTTGAGGGTTGGGGGAGACAAATCACAAAAATGTAAACAATTAGAATTTCAGATTCAAACAAACTACGTAGGGAATAAACTAGAATAGAGATGGGCAGGTTGGCACTTTTGATAGGGTGTTCAGGGAAAGCTCTTAGATGATATTTAAGATGATATTTCTCAAAGATGAGAAAGACAGCTCTGCAAACAGTCTGAAAGAAGCATTCTAAACAGAGGGACACAAGTTCACTAAAAAAGGTGCTGGAACCGGAAAGAACTTGGTCTGTTCTAGAAGCAGAAAGGAAACCAGTGTAGATGAAACAAAAAAAAAGGAGGGGTTGGTGAGGTCAGAAGAAATTCAGGCCCTGGTGGAGCTGTTGAAAGGTTTTAAATAACAGAGTAATTGAACCTGGTTGATGAGTTTTAAAAAAGAAAAAGAAAATACTTAGGCTGCTGTGTGAGGAGAACAAACTATTAGGAAAGCAAAAGTGGAACTGGATGGATGGAATGTAGGGAGGGGAGTAGGGAGGGAGGAAATAAATGAGTGAATAAATATTAAATGTGACTACAAAGGAATAAGGCCTACGAGAGTCACTTGGCCTAGTTATTTTAGCTTAAACTGATTCTTAAGTCAAATTTCAAAAACCAAAACCAAATTACTTTGAGTGAAAGGAACACTGTTGAAATAAATTGCTTTCTAAAATGACTGCCTTGAGAAAGATAATATGCATTTAGTAATACACTGACTGGTATATTTGTTCAAAAATATACTACTGTTCTGAGGGCGACACAAGAGGGAAGAGATATGGGAACATATGCATATGTATAACTGATTCACTTTGTTATAAAGCAGAAACTAACACACCATTGTAAAGCAATTATACTCCAATAAAGATGTTAAAAAATATATATATATGTATATATATACTACTGTTCTATTGTCATGATACTTCAAATACAATCACATCCTTTGACACAGCATTTCCATATCCAGAATCATATACATTGGAAGTAAACAAATGCACATAGGTTTTTGAATAAAGGATGTTCCTTGCAGCCTTATTTGAAATGAGGGGGGGAAAAACCCAACTAAACATCTATGCTTGCGAAAGTGATTTAATAGGTTATGCACATTTGTTCTACTTAGTACTACATAGCTATCTAAGTAAAGGCTGTTGTCCCATTCTGACATGGAGCGATGGCCTTCTATAAGCAGTGGAAGAAATTAGGTTACCGTGTGTGTGTGCGTGTGTGTGTGTGTATGTGTGTGTGTGTGTGTGTGTGTGTCTGTATATGAGAGAAAAAATAGAGAATGGCCAAGAACTTTGCTAATTCTAGAGCCAATAGCGACATGTGGTTGTTGAGCACTTAAAATGTGACTAGTCAGAATGGAGATGTGCTCTAAATGGAAAACACTCACTGGATTGTGAAGACTTAAAATGAAAAACAACAACAACACTGTATTTCTACTGGACAGTGCTGGCCTAGAAGGATTGTTCCTGGGGAGTAGGACTGGGGAGAAATTTTGATAGAGAGGACACGGAATAGGGACTTTCACCTTTAATTTAGCCTCTACTCTATTTTTCAAAAAGCACTTAATTTATAATTTTAAAAGCCAGTAGTAGGAATCCAAGCAAAATTTGTAGTTTAGTTAATAGTCATGTGCCAATGTTAAGATCTTAGTTTTGACAGATGGTACCACGGTTATATAAGCTGTTAACTGAAAAAACTGCTGAATACAGGAACTCTTTGTACTATCATTGCAATTTTTCGGCAAATCTCAAATTATTTCAAAATAAAAACCTAAAAAAAAAAAAAAAGGGAAACAAGCACTCTAACAAGATGTATTTTCTGCTTAGAGATTCTTACTCGGAGTCTCAACGTACTGTAAAGCAATTGACTCCAAGTTAGCTTGCCCACCCAGAGTTCCTTGTAAACACATTTGCTTGAAATAAGGCAGCTAGGATAACTAAATGTCATATTCCTTAGTTCTCACCTGAAATTCCATCTATTCAGAAAACTCCTTTCTTCCCTGGTGGTTAGAAGCTGTCTGGCTGCTGCTTAGCTACCAGGAATTTTTGTTGGAGTAGGAGGCTTGCTGGAGAGAACAGGAAAGGCAGCACCCCTCTGAGGACTTCACTGAGGCCTGGGCAGCTGGCAGCTTTCAAAGCCCCTCACCATTGGCTCCTTGCTTCAGCCCTCAGATTAAGGTCAAGAGATTTTTGCTAAAATCTTGTGGTGAACTTTGGGATAAAGAAATGAATAAAAAATCTACATTATTAGTATAGCAACCTTCACCTATATTTTTACAGTTGTTACTTTTCACTTAAGGGTTTCCAGAATAAAAACTAAATTCTGCGTGCAAGTGAACAGGAATGGCAAGTAAAACTGGGTAATAAAATTTAAAACAGATTCGATATAGATATATGGATATAAGGATATTTCAGAACTGACCAAAAGAAGATAACACTGCATTGGAGTGTGAAATATTTCTATTTTACACAAACTAGGTGTAAAATGCATGAAAAAGTACAATTTCAAAATGTAGAAATTACAAAGGACATGTCAACTTATCATGAAGCAGGTTGTTAAGTATAGACTATAAAGCTATAATAAAATATTTTCCAAAGGTGACCCACCCACAAAACAATTATATTAAAATAATGTGGGTATTTAAACAGATGTCCCAGTGCCACCACCACACCTGAATAGCTTAAATAACTTTTTTTTTCTTTAAACATCACTGCTTTCTCTGGAAAAACAGTCACACCATAAGCAGAAGGAGTTTGACTAAGAATTTACAAAAGAAAACTACTAATAATAAAAGAGTGACTTGGAATGACCTTTATAATTAGTCAATACAACTGAAAAAAAAGATATTAGAGGATCTAGAATCCTGAAACTCATATTGCTCCACTGCATAGGTTTTCCACTGAAAATAGGCCAAAATCTGAGCCCTCCTGAAGCTTGAGAACCCTCCAACCAAGTGTTCCAGCTGACCCTCTCCTTTTTCCCACTTCCCAACTGAGCCCCAGAAAAGGATGACAAAAATCTTAAAAATTACAGCACGAAGGGCATCTCTACTTACCTCTAGAAAGACTTTCTCAGTAGAAATCTGGACAGAAAATTAATTTGTATTCAGTTTTTTTAAATTCAAACTTAAATGAGAATTAAATTTATATGGGACTAGGCATGAAGGGATGCCCCCAAATAAATTAATGACAGGTTAAACCACTTGGAATTTCTGCCTGGGGAATTCTAACACTAGAAGTGATAGGCAGTTAAAACATGGTAAGACCTTAATTTTTCAGTCTGAAGAGATCAGGGAGCCTCTTCTTGTACTGTGGGTCTCTATGGCAGAGCTCTGGGAGAAAAATCCTAAGCACTTCTAAGAGCAAACCATACATTCAATCTTTTTACATTGTTTTTAATTAAGTGACCACTTGCCATTGCCCAGACCCTCTGGGGTAGCTTGATAGTTTGTTACCCTTTCTGCCATCTTCTGTATTACAAATAATTGATGTAGAGTGGATCCTACCCTGAAAACCAGGGTTCCAATCTCTGCTGGAACACTCTAGACACGTCTAGAGTGCTGGCGCACTCTACTGCCTGCCTTGACCTTGAACTTAACTTATCCAAGTCTTAATTTCTTTCTATGAGGAGGAGGGTGGACAGGAAAACATTGCTACAGTATTTAAATCTATTTTTTATTACAAAAAATGGATAAAATAATTCAAATTATAGAAGCACATAAAAGCAAAAAGTGAAACTATCTTTTGACTATTTGCCCTTGTGGAATAACCATATTAATTTGGGAATATTCTTCTGGATTATTTAAAGGCAAAAAAAAATTAGCATTAACTATATATACTATTCTAGAACTCTTTTTTCTTTTGACTTAGCAATATAGATTTCTCCTTTGACAAGTAACACAAGGTCTGTGAGAGTCGGGATCTTGTCTGTTTCCTTAACTGCTATATTTCTAGGAACTAAAACAGTGTCTGGCACAAAGTAGTCGACAAAAAATGCTCACTGAAAGAATGACTGACTGAATGAAATCATCCTTCCTGTCAGATCAATCAGAAGTTCTGTGGGGTCAGGGATGTGTCTATTTGGTCTCTCTCTATGATCCCAGCACCAGAGAACCTGGCACAGAGTAACCACTTAATATTTGTTGAATTAGCAAAACAGCTCAATGATGAAACCACCTAATTTTTTTTACTTGTGCCAGTGTGTTGACATACCACAATAACCAATTATTCCCCAACTGATGGAAAACATCTCTCACAAACACCATTGCAATGATCGCCCTTGTATATATATCCTTGTGTAAAGATTTTTGCAGAATAAGAATCCCTTTTGTGGGGGAATCATTAATCTGGTTCATATGTTTTCTGTGGTCCCTTCCCTCTAGAATTTCATAAATTTAAAACACTTAATTTTTCAGCTTGTTTAAAAGCTACTGCCTGGAACTTTGCAAACCGATCTCCCTGTAGAAAGCCAGTGCTTCCCAATACTGCCCAGATGCAGCCCAAACACTGCAACAGACAGGCTGCCTGCATCCTTGGTGACCAACATCTCCTGCATGCAATGCAGTAGCAGCTCAGTCATCACCTGGGGAAGGCAGTTTTCAGGCAGCGACAGGTCCCTATTGTTGATTCATTCAGCAGAAAGGGGAAAAAAGACAATAACACACTTCCAAGGGCCTGAGAAGGGAGAGGATGCTGAGAAGAGCAGATGCTGGACAAGAGCAGAAAAGGGAGCTTAGGAGTATTTTCGAGTTCCCCAACAAGTGAAGCTCTATCTGAGCTCTCCAATGGAAAAGTCTTCCCAGGAATCTACCTTTCTGCTTCTTTAATTTTTTCACTCCAAAGATATTTAGTAAATTTCTACCCGTATTATGTGTCAGAGCTGTGCCAAGACTGGGGAGGAAGCAAATAGGCAAGATAGACCTACTCTCTACCATCTTGGAACTAAAAGCTTAAGGGCCATTGTCTTTCCATCAGGGGATCTGACAGGGACAAATACAGATGGCTGGAGCCCTTAACCTACTTTCCACCAGGAAACAGAATTTGTGTCCCAGTCACTGCTTCTTCTTTTGTGAGAAACACAGCTCCAGTTCTCTCCATGAATGGAGAAGTTGGTCAGAGATCTTTCCCTCTGAGTGCACCCCAAGCAAAACCTGTCAACACACACTAAGCATACTTCCTCTTTCTCCAGGAGCACCTGCCACACCACAGGCCTTGCTGGGCAGTCTTCTTAACTTAGGCCAAGGAGAGCTGTGCACTGGCACTTACTGTCACAGAGTCAACATTCAAAGAAGCATCAACCTTGAGACTCAAAGGGAACCTTCAAGACCATCTACTCCTACTCCAATAGTTTCCGAACCTGCTACGGTTCACAGAGCTCTTTGAGAATCGGCGGCCCCTTTAGACTTCCCGTACCGAAAAAGACACGCACGTATCTCAGCACATAATTTCCCCTGTATTTTCAGAAGCTTCATGGACACACCATATAACTGAATATCTGGAATTCCAGAGACCCCATATTAAGAATTCCTACTCTCTATAAAAGCCCATTTGAGCTCTAATGCCCTGATTAGCAGCCTCCGAGTTGGGTGGCGGGAACACAGAGGTAATGTTGTGCCTGTCTAAGTACAATGCTGGTCCCAGTTCAATCCTCGGGTGAGCTCCTTATCTTTAAAACATGGAAAAACTCTGCTCCGTGGCCAAGGACAGAACCTCTAAAACCAGTCAGGTGAGCCATCTCATAGTTTTCAAAGAAGATAACACCAAACCCCAAAAGGAAGTGGTGAATCTGGTGGCGTTGAAAGACAACAGCCCAGGGGTTGTCAGGACTGCTGCCCGCTGCTGACGGAGCAGTAATACTTGTATGGATCCTCCATTTCATATACGTTCTCCTCAATGGTATAGATGTTTTCCTCTGGATGTGTCCTCTCTCCTGCTGTATTTGCTAACCCCGAGGGAGGGAGGTTGGCCAAACTGATGAGGCTGTGGAAATAAAGTGATGCAGTTGAGTTAAACATCCCAGGCAACATGGAATAGAGTTAAAAGAATGGGCTTTGCTGAAGAGATAGCCACCAAGGCAGTATATGACCCTTGATCAGGTCCTGACTAGGCAGGGGAAACATAAAATAGTAATGAAAATAGTCTGGGGAATAACTGCACAAATTCAAATTAATCTGAATTTTCTTAGGTATACAAATGGCATTGTGTTATCTAAGAGAATGTCTTTATTCTGAGGAAGTGCAGACTGAAGTGTTTAGGTGAAATGTCACGATGTCTGAAACACCTTTACAAATGGTTCAGAAAAAAAAATATGTATGTAAATAGAGAAACAGATAAAGCAAATGTGACAAAATATTAAATGACACGCTTAGGTGAAGGGTTCTACTGTTCCTTGCACTATTATTTCAATTATTATGTCAGCTTGAACAATTTCAAAAAGTAAAAGAAATGAATGTGTTATGGATCCAATGAGACTTGAGTTCGAATTCTGCCTCTGTTGCTTTCCACCCATGTGATCTTGGGTAAGTTGGATTTGCTTTTTTCATTTATTCATTCAAGAACTATTTAACATGTTTATACTGTTCCATGCATCAAGAGATGCAACAGTGAACAAAACACAAAAATCCCCTAGAGGCTGTATATTAGTAAACTTAGTGTCTCAGGGTCCTCATCTATAAAATGGGAATAAATACTCTATCTCACAGGGCTGCTGTAAGGAACGTTTATTCATTCAATCCTCAAATATCAAATGCATACTAAGAATTAGGTGTGTGCTAGGAGATACAGTTGTTAATGTGGCAGACAAGTTCCTAATTTTCTATGGAGTTTACATTTATAGGTGGAGATGAACATTAACCAAATAATTTCATAAAGAATGAATTATTGCATGTAAATATTACCTATTGATATTACCACATTTCAAGTTTCAGCTCTAATAAAGAATACTGACACAGAAAATATAAAGCCATTGATAATTAAATATTTTATTTGATCTTATTTGACTTTTTTACTGCAGACTATTTTGTCTTCATAACTGTACGATCTAGATTTAGTCTAAAATTATTAGTGGTTTAGAGAGTATGCAGTGGACAGAATCACTTTTTTCTTGAAAGTTTTTAGAACAATACCTATGGTTAGGCCTCATCCCCAAAGATTCTGATTTATTTGCTCTGGGGTTGACAATAGTATGCTTAAGTGCCCTGGATGATTCTAATAGGCAATCAGAGTTAAGAAGAGCTGGGCTGGGTTGTAAAAGCCCTGAGAGTAGATTCTGAGTTTCTTGTTCACGTCTATAAACCAGTGGCCACCCAGAACCCGGATGCAGTAAGTACTCAATCAGCTGAAGGGTCAGTTCACTGAAAAAGCCCTTTAATCAGAAATATATAAGCATTTCCTATCAATGGGAGACAAATTCTCTACCTTAACTTTAGGACTAAAGAAGCTAGAGGGATTAGGGATCAAGAATAAAACCGAGCAGCATGTTAAATTTGCATTTCATAAATCTAGGCCTAAAGCAAAAAGGAAGTAGTAAAAATTTAGATCCCAAAGTCTCAGGGCAGGACTTCTAAGAGCAAAGATCAAAGCCCAGATTAGAGTAGGAATATCCAAGATTCCCACCTTCCACTACTGCACGCATTATTCTTACCGTAAATTTTGTATCTTCTCTTTGCTATCAGAATACCCTAGGTAAAAAGGTGAAGAAAAGTCAATTTAAAATGCTTTCATAAAGTAAATGAGATAAATAAAATGAGCTAACTGGAGGCAAAGACTGTTTAGGGAAGTCTGGTCTACCTATTAGATTGAATTAAATCAAACCACTGATATGCGTCTTGATTTATTATATAAACTATGCTAAAAGTAATGAAGATGCATTTTTCATATTTAACAAATGTAGGGAGCGCCCACTACGTGGCTGGTAGTATGCTAAGCACCAGGGACACAAAGGTGAACTATGAGCCCTGACATCATGAAACTTGTCTTCTAGTGAGAGAGGCATTTAAGAAAAAAAAAGTAAATGGGAAAAATAAAATAATTTCAAATTGTGATGTAATAGAAAGAAAAGTATTGCAGCAAAATGGATGGGCCTAGAGATTATCATACTGAGTGAAGTAAATCAGACAAAGACAAATATTATATGATGGCACACATGTGACATCTAAAAAATAATACAAATGGATTTATTTATAAAACAGACACAGAAAACAAACTTATGGTTACCAAAGGGAAGGGGGGGGTAGGGATAAATTAGGAGTTTGGGAATAACAGATACACACCACTATATATAAAATAGATAAACAACAAGGATTTACTGTATAGCAAGGGAGCTATACTCAATTTTTTTTTTTTTTCCGGTACGCGGGCCTCTCACTGCCGTGGCCTCTCCCGTTGCGGAGCATAGGCTCCGGACGCGCAGGCTCAGCAGCCATGGCTCACGGGCCCAGCCGCTCTACGGCATGTGAGATCTTCCCGGACTGGGGCACGAACCCGTGTCCCCTGCATCAGCAGGCGGACCGTCAACCACTGCGCCACCAGGGAAGCCCTCAATATCTTATAATAACCTATAATGGAAAAGAATCTGAAAAAATATATATATATATTTTATATATATATGTATATAACTGAAATCACTTTGCTGTATACCTGAAACTAACACAATTTGTAAATCAACTGTATTTCAATTTTTAAAAAAAACAACAATGCACTGGAATAGATAATCAAGAAGGTAATCAGGAAAGAATTCTCAGAAGAAATGATCTTTAAGCTCAGTTCTGAAAGAAGAGAATGAGTCAGCCAAATGAAAAGCCGGGGTGAGCATTCTGGATCGAGTAAAGCCCTGGTAAAGATAGTAGTGAGTGGCTGAAACTGAAAGCATGGCTGGAATAAGAGAGTGGCACAAGGTAAGGTCTGAGAGGGAGGCTGGGCTAGATACTATAGGACCTTGTAAGTCATAATCAGGAGTTTGGATTTTATTCTAAGACATAGGAAATAACTGAAGGCCAGAAATATGATCTGACTGGGTTTTAAGACAATCACTCTGGCTGCTGTGTGGAGAATGAATTAAAAGGAGGTATGAAAAAATGAGGAGGTAAGTAGAGAACTGCCTCAGAGTAAGGTGGTGAAAGAGAGATGCAGAATTACGAATGGATTTTAGATATGATTTGGAGAAAGTGCGGGAAAGTGAAGTTGGATTGTGTATTAGGAGTGATGAAAGAGGGGATTCAAGGATGGCTTCTGGCTCTCTGGCTTAAGCAACCAGATGTATGATAATGAAACACTATGATGAAGAAGATCAGGGAGGGGGAGGTTGGGTTCTAAAAAGGTGGAATATAGACTCTAGAGCTCCTTTCTTGACACAATGTGGGACACATCTAAGTGGAGATAACAACTGGACAGCTGGCCAATCAGTATCAACACCTTTGAGTGCTGGAGAGAGAAATTAAGGATGACATTTAAGTCTATGGGAATATAGGTCATCATCAGCCAGAGGGCATGGAGAGAGGAAAAGGGCCAGCCCTGGGGAATCACAACATCTAAAGATCATGCTGAAGAAGAGAAAATAACAAAAATGACTGAAAGGTGTGGCTAGTGAAGACACTGGTGTTTCAGAAGCCAAGAGAAGGCAGACTTTTTAGAATGAGTGAGAGTCAACTTAGTTATTGCTGAAAGACGTACTACAATGAAGACAGAGGTATCTACAGGATTTAGCAAAATGGAGGTCACTGGTGAGCTTGACTGAAACTATTTCCATGGCACTTCAGGTGTAGAAGCTAAATTGGGAGGGGGCGTGGTTAAAGAGTGCGGAGGGGTGAGAGGTAGGAACAACGCATCTGAGAAATACGGCTGTAAAGGAGAGCAGAGAAATGGGAGTCACTGGAGAGAAATGTGTGAACTAGGCCATATTTTTATACTAATAAAAATAGCATAAACAGGAATGGAGAGAGAGATGATTCTGGAGAAAGTGATCACAGGAAGAACGAAGTCTTGGCTGAGGCAAAGTGGTTGAAACAGGCTTTTAATACTTCATCAGTGCAGTGAGAGGCGAGGGAGATTTGAGCAGCAATGAAGTATGTGATGCTCATCTCAGACAGTGCACTAGAAACATCCAGGATTGCTGGGCATTACTGAGTACCAATTTATGGCTTTGATGTCATGACTTAAAAACCTATCACCTTGGTTGTATGATTTTCTCCAGCAACTTCTAGGGAAAAGACTGCAGATGGAATACAACTTTCCCATCTATTCTTCCATGTAGTCATGTTTTGGGAGTAATCATATGTGTGCACAAAACATGACTTCTCCCACTCCTCATCACCCTGCTTGCATACCCTCTACACAAACCAGAACAGTCCCTAATATCCAGGCCTCGGCAAAACTCAAAAAGTGGGTGTGGTCATTGCTCCTTATCAACCTGTAGACTCCATATTCATGTGGTCAATTTCCAAACTCCACTGCTATCTCTCCATAAACCTAGGTAAGTGGGGGTGAGTAGCTTCTTCCTCTCAGCAATCCATTTACCATTAATGGCAGAGTAACAAAATGGTGAGCAAGACAGTCCCAGTTTCAAATCCTCTATCAATTAACTGTGTAGCTTTGGGCAAGTTACTTAACCTTTTAGCACACTGGTTCTCCAACTGGTACATGAGAATAATATTAGTACCTTTCTCAACAGGGTAGTTATGAGGATTTAATGCACATAAAGCACTTGGCAGCTTCAAGCCACACAGGATGAGCAACTCATCCCAGTTTTCCCTGGACTGTTCCAGTTTTAGCACTGAAAACCCACACATTAGGAACCTCCTTCAATCCTGGGAAAATCTGGAATGGTTTGTAACCCTACACATAGTTGATGTTTATGTATTAGTAAGAAAGGCTGATAAAATAATAGTGGTATACGGCCTTGGTCTCTGCACCAAAGAGAAGAGAATATATCACAGTTATAAAAGTATGTGAGGCTTTCGGGGTGATGGAAGTGTTTGGGCATTGATTGCGGTGATGGTTTCCTGGGTGAAACCATCTACTGAAATTCATCAAGTTGAACACACTTTAAATATACAGTTTATTGCATATAAATCATACTTAATTTTTTTTAATAAAGATAAGTAACTTAGACATAAAATATGTGTGCTGAGTGCCACAATGGAGGAAAATACAAACGCTGCGACTCTGGGCATGACCCAGCGTTAAAGGAACCTGCTACCCCTCTTTAAAGAACCATGCCTGAGAAATAAATAAGATAGAAAAATGCACAGAAGAAAGTGATTGTCATTGTTGTGCTTCCTAATAAAACTGGACATGTTCATGAATTAAAAAGGTTTATTTTCTTAACAAAAGATAAAAAAACAGGTACTAGAATCAACCTGCTTGAATTTGAATTCCAGCTTTGCCACTTATTGATTCTGAAACCTTGAGAAAACCTTGAAAGCTTACTGTCTCTAAACGTTACTCTCCTCTGCTATAAGAATAGGAATAACAGTGCTATCTACCTTATATAAGATGGTGACAATAATAATGTAAAACATGCCTGTTACATGGTAAGCACTGAATAAAAATGAGCTATTATTATTGTTGAGGTTTGGAAGGACTAAAGAGTATTTATTCTAATCACCTGTAGGTATAAATATAAACTAATAGTTCTATCTTAGGCTTGTGTTGGTTCCTATATTAACAGTTCCTTATCAGATGGAGAGAGAATCACCATCAAATGACTTACATTTGAGAATTAAAGCACCAGAGATAAGAACGAGAGCCAGCCCAGCAGAAACCCCTGCTCCGATGTAGAGGCCTATTCTGGTGGTGGCGCCCATGTCTTGTAACTCATTAGCCAGTGTGGATATTTCCTATGGAAACACAAACAGAATTGCAGCAAATGACCAGAAATCCATTGTCTGCCCAGCCAGGCTCATGACTTATACATGGGACCATCCCTTTCACAGTATCTCAGGAATGCAGGGACCTTGAAATGACTCATGATCTGTCCCCTTCTAGACAAGCCTCAAACCACCCAAAGAAAGGGATTAGCTGAATCTTTGGAGTTAGCAAGGGAATAAGAGGTGCCTGTCTGTGCTGTGGGTGGAGAAGCAGCCTTAGTAAATGGACTCCCCTTTCCTCACATAAAAAGTGGGGCCCTGTTCATTGATGATTCCCTGGTGTTCCCAGGGAGTTTCAGAGTGGTCTAAATTTGGTGTCTTGCCATGAAACCCCAACTTTCACAGAAAGACAGTGATTTAAAAGCTAGGAATTTGCAGCCAGACTGTCTTGGGTTCAAATCCCAGTTCTGTCACCAAAGAGCTGTGTCATCAGGAAGAGCTGTGTAGAGTTATCAGGAAAATTAAGTGACGAAAACCAGAAAATGCTTGGCACAGAGCCTGGTACAGGATAAATCTCAATCAGTGGTAGCTCTTATTGCTATTGCTCTAATTAATTAGATATTTTGTTAACTCAGTCACAGCGAACATACTGCTTCTAAAATTTCACCTCATGTTCCTCCTTTAAAAAGAGTAATGGTAAACACTTTTAAAACAACGTCAAGGAATTAAGTCTTCCATTTATTCAACAGACATTTACTGCAGGAGTGCACCATGCAAGGTCACTTGCAGTAAGCACTGTGGGCACACAGAGGTACTGAAAAGGCAGACCCGGATTGCAAAGAAGACAGGACAAACAAAAAATGCTTGACACTGAGTCAGAGATTGAGTTAAATGAATGCAAACTCCTGGATATGTCCTCAAAGAATTTTCCAGTCACTGCTATCAGGTTGTTCTCTAATGCAGTGGTCCCCAACCTTTTTGGCGTTTCAAGGAAGACAATTTTTCCACAGACCGGGGTTGGGGGGGATGGAGGGGGGATGCTTCAGGCGGTAACACGAGCGATGGGGAGCGATGGGGAGCGGCAGATGAAGCTTCGCTTGCTCGCCCGCTGCTCACCTCCTGCTGTGCAGCCCAGCTCCTAACAGGCCGCAGACCAGTACCAGTCCATGGCCCGGGGATTGGGGACCCCTGTTTTAGTGGTTTTCCCTTTTACTCTGAGAAGGTGGGAGACACTAAAATGGTGGTCGATTAAAATAGTGCTTTATTTTTAGTTAGATACCTAAGTTCTTGGCTTAGAATATTCTTGCCTGGTGTCTTATCATAAATAAATAAATTTAAACAAACAATCTTTGTCATTAGGGTTGCAATGGAAGCAAGGAGAAACATACTCTGGGGTGATGGAGGGTGTCCGAACCCTCCACAGTGGTATACAGCTGTGAAATTTGAGAATAAGGACAAAATGCTAATGCTTCTTCCTTTTGGTTTTCCAGCACCTACTATGTGACAGGCACTTTACATGCATCACCCCACTCCATCCTTACAACAGGACTTGCAGTTACAACAGTTATCAGCAACATGTTACAGCCAAGGAACCTGAAGCCAAGGGAGATTAAGGCATTTTCCCCCAAGGAATGAATGGGCAGGAAGGAAGTCTAAAGCCATACTTTTTTTCCTCTGAGTTGAGCATAAAGTCAGCTCACACACACAGTTACTCACTGTTTGATTTTTATCATGGAGGGTCTCCAGTGTCTGTGTCTCTGCCACAAAGAAGAAAAATAGCCAGTAGAACAGTTAAGAATGCTTTCTTTTATATGAGTTTTTTTAAATCTTAAAAGCTACCTATAATCCTATTTGAAATTAATTCTACTCCATTATCTTCACAATAATTAACTGAGAGACAAACAAAACTTACTGAACACTTACAAATCAACTTCAGGATGACATTTTTTTCGTCCAGATGATGTACCTAACTACTTATGTTCTATGAATTGGAGACTTCTTCCAGGAAAACCTATTTTGAATATGTGGTTTGTTGTGTCCTCAGGGCCCTAAAGGGGTCTTCAAAATTCCAACAACACTGATGACACAGAGGCAGGCATTATAATTAGACTTTTTTTAGATCAAATAACTGTTCTCTAATATTTATTTTGTTCATTTTTTTAATTGAAGTATAGTTGATTTACAATGTTGTGTTAGTTTCAGGTGTACAGCAAAGTGATTCAGAATATATATATATTCTTTTTCAGATTCTTTTCCCTTATAGGTTATTACAAAATATTGAGTATAGTTTCCTGTGCTATACGGTAGGTCCTTGTTGATTATCTGTTTTACATATAGTAGTGTGTATATGTTAATCCCCAACTCTTAATTTATCCCTCCCTTCTCCCTTTCCCCTTTGGTAACCATACGTTTGTTTTCTATGTCTGTAGGTCTATTTCTGTTTTGTAAATAAGTTCGTATGTATCATTTTTTTTAGATTCCACATAGAAGTGATATCATATGATATTTGCCTTTCTCTGTCTGGCTTACTTCATTTAGTATGATAATCTCAAAGTCCATCCATGTTGCTGCAAATGGCATTATTTCATCCTTTTTTATGACTGAGTAATATTCCATTGTACAAATGTCCATCAACAGATGAATGGATAAAGAAGATGTGGCATGGTTAGAATTTGAAAGGTAACGAAAGTTAATTTTCTTTAAAAAAAATTTAACATTTACTCATTAAGAGTAAGACAGGGTATTTTGTTCCCTAAAAAATTGAAAATAATAATAACTGTAACTATAATTTACCATGAACAGGCATTGTACTAAATTCTTCAAGGGAAGTATCTCATTTAGCATTCAAAACAACTATCTTAAAGTAGGGACTATTAGTCCCATTACAGAGATGAAGAAGCTGAGAATTAGGAAGCTAAGTGACTTACCCAAAGTCACACAGCTTAGTGAATAACAGAAATGGCCTTCCAATTTAGGTCCACGTGGCTTTAAGCACACACTCTTAACTGTGCTGCCTCCAACAAGGCTCATCTCGGCACTGTGATCATGAAGCCTCCACACTGCCCAGCTGCCAGCTCACCTTCTTTCCTTTTTATTCATTTAGTTAGTCATCTGCCTATCCATTCGATGAACATGTACTACACCCCCACTCTATGCCAGGCACGGGGGACAGGGACAGAACAGTGAACAAGATGCGCACAGGCCCTGACCTCGTAAACACTGCATTCTAAAAACCAATAATTTGTCAGCTTTGGGATGATTAACCATGCCAACGTATTTTTCTGTGTGAGTCAGAGGATCTGAAACTTTCTAAATGTCAAGGTCACTTTCTGGAAGCTTAGCAGTCTAAACCTTTTAATGTAGAACTGGTTTACAGACTCTGATTTTAATATTATAAAAGCATATTCTCAGCCTAAAGTTTAAAAAAAAAAAAAAAAGGAAAGGAAAGAGATTATCTTCCACTTTCCTTAGCTCCTATTCCCCAAAAGGAATTTAAAAACCACACTGGTGAAACTACTAAGTAAACATGTATCTTAACCACACACAACATTTTCTAGTGTAAATCCAGTTTCTGCTTCCCTATAGTTACTTTTCTTGGCTTAAATGGTAAGACTGTCTAACTTTTTTTTTTAAATTTCATTTTACAGTGAAAATGATCAATAAAATAGAGCACTGTTGGGTTATCACACCTTATTTTCACATAGGTAGACATCAACCAAGATGGGTGGGACAGTTGGTGAAAGTTACAATGTTTTTCCTTGAGGACCCGAGACTGGGGGGTGGGGGGAGACGACAATGGGGGAGGCACGTGATGATTTTAAAAGTATATAAATTTAATAGTTACCATCTAGCATGTATTATGTGCCAGACATGGTGCTTCACACTTTATGTGCACAATATCTTTTAATCTTCACCACAATAGGTAGGTACTATTATTTTCTCAATTTTTAAATAAAGAAACTGAGTCTCAGAGAAGTACTTTGTCCAAATCACACAGCTATTAACTGGCAAATCTGAGATTCAAACCAAGTCTACCTCTGAAGCTAAGGATTCATCCATGATGCAGTCCTGCCTTCTTCAGGTGGAAGAGAGATTGCATTTATTCTGTGTTCAAAGTGGGTTTAGGAGCTTCAAAGACCCTTGGGACTCCTACTTGTTACGGCTCCTCTTCACTTTATAGCAAGCATATTAAATGTACCCACATTACTCAGCCATAAAAAGAAATGAAATTGAGTTACTTGTAGTGAGGTGGATGGACCTAGAGTCTGCCATACAGAGTGAAGTAAGTCAGAAAGAAAAACAAGGAACAAGACAAGGTTGTCCACTCTCACCACTATTATTCAACATAGTTTTGGAAGTTTTAGCCACAGCAATCAGAGAAGAAAAAGAAATAAAAGGAATCCAAATTGGAATAGAAGACGTAAAGCTGTCACTGCAGATGACAGGATACACAGAGAATCCTAAAGATGCTACTAGAAAACTACTAGAGCTAATCAATGAATTTGGTAAAGTAGCAGGATACAAAATTAGTGCACAGAAATCTCTTGCATTCCTATACACTAATGATGAAAAATCTGAAAGAGAAATCAAGGAAACACTCTCATTTACTATTGCAACAAAAAGAATAAAATAACTAGGAATAAACCTACCTAAGGAGACAAAAGACCTATATGCAGAAAACTATAAGACACTGATGAAAGCAATTAAAGATGATACAAATAGATGGAGAGAGATACCATGTTCTTGGATTGGAAGAATCAACATTGTGAAAATGACTATACTACCCAAAGCAATCTTCAGATTCAATGCAATCCCTATCAAACTACCAAGGGCATTTTTCACAGAACTAGAACAAAAAATTTCACAATTTGTATGGAAACACAAAAGACCCCAAAAAGCCAAAGCAATCTTGAGAAAGAAAAACAGAGTTGGAGGAATCAGACTCCCTGACTTCAGACTATACTACAAAGCTACAGTAACCAAGACAGTATGGTACAGGCACAAAAACAGAAATATAGATCAATGGAACAGGACAGAAAGCCCAGAGATAAACCCACACACATATGGTCACCTTATTTTTGATAAAGGAGACAAGAATATACGATGGAGAAAAGACAGCCTTTTCAATAAGTGTTGCTGGGAAAACTGGACAGCGACTTGTAAAAGAATGAAATTAGAACACTCCCTAACACCATACACAAAAATAAGCTCAAAATGAATTAAAGACCTAAATGTGAATGGCCTAAATGTAAGACCAGACACTATAAAACTCTTAGAGGAAAATACAGGCAGAACACTCTATGACATAAATCACAGCAATATCCTTTTTGACCCACCTCCTAGAGAAATGGAAATAAAAACAAAAATAAACAAATGAGGCCTAATAAAACTTAAAAGGTGGGCTTCCCTGGTGGCTCAGTGGTTGAGAGTCCGCCTGCCGATGCAGGGGACACGGGTTCGTGCCCCAGTCCGGGAAGATCCCACATGCCACGGAGCGGCTGGGCCCGTGAGCCATGGCCACTGAGCCTGCGCATCCGGAGCCTGTGCTCTGCAATGGGAGAGGCCACAACAGTGAGAGGCCCGCGTACCGCAAAAAAAAAAAAAAAAAAGTAAAAGCTTTTTCACAGCAAAGGAAACCATAAACAAGACAAAAAGACAACCCTCAGAATGTGAGAAAATACTTGCAAATGAAGCAACTGACAAAGGATTAATCTCCAAAATTTACAAGTAGCTCATGCAGCTCAATATCAACAAAACAAAAAACCCAATCCAAAAACGGGCAGAAGACCGAAACAGACATTTCTCCAAAGAAGATATACAGATGGCCAACAAGCACATAAAAGAATGCTCAACAACACCAATCATTAGAGAAATGCAAATCAAACCTACAATGAGGTATCACCTCACACCAGTCAGAATGACCATCATCAAAAAATCTACAAACAATAAATGCTGAAGAGGGTGTGGAGAAAAGGGAACCCTCTTGCACTGTTGGTGGGAATGTAAATTGATACAGCCACTATGGAGAACAGTATGGAGGTTCCTTAAAAAACTAAAAATGGAACTACCATTCGACCCAGCAATCCCACTACTGGGCATATATCCTGAGAAAACCATAATTCAAAAAGAGTCGTGTACCACAATGTTCATTGCAGCTCTATTTACAATAGCCAGGACACAGAAGCAACCTAAGTGTCCATCAACAGATGAATGGATAAAGAAGATGTGGCACATATATACAATGGAATATTACTCAGCCATAAAAAGAAATGAAATTGAGTTATTTGAAGTGAGGTAGATGGACTTAGAGTCTGTCATACTGAGTGAAGTAAGTCAGAAAGAGAAAAACAAATACCGTATGTTAACACATATATAGAACCTAAAGGAAAAAAAATGGTTCTGAAGAACCTAGGGGCAGGACAGGAATAAAGACACAGATGTAGAGAATGGACTTGAGGACACGGGGAGGGGGAAGGGTAAACTGGGATGAAGTGAGAGAGTGGCATGGACATATATACACTACCAAACGTAAAATAGATAGCTAGTGGGAAGCAGCCGCATAGCACAGGGAGATCAGCTTGCTGCTTTGTGTCCACCTAGAGGGATGGGATAGGGAGGGCAGGAGGGAGACACAAGAGGGAGGGAAGATGGGGATATATGTATAGGTATAGCTGATTCACTTTGTTATACAGCAGAAACTATCACAACATTGTAAAGCAATTATACTGCAATAAAGATGTTATAAAAAATTAAAAAAAAAAAAGAATTGCAAAACTGAAAAAAAAAGTACCCACATTACACACTAAAGAAAAGGTGTAACTACACACAAGTTGACTTGCATGTAACTAACTGAAATAATATTACATATTATAGTCATGTCATTAAATACTAATTAATTTCAATTTTCCATTTGATTTTCATAGTCTGGAGCCATTGCCTTTCTTTGTTTAAGTATTTTCTCAGGCCTTTGAAAAGCTCAGAGATTGTAGGTACTCTGCCTATATTCTCAGATGCAAAAGATGGCTCCATTTCTGTTGCCCTAAAGGGAAGGAACAAACAAGTAAAAACTGAAAGGAAGGACACTTCTGGTTATGGTATAGACACTTCTAAAAAAACATGCACTGTGTTGTGAGGAAGCTACCTCTCCATCTCAGAAGGTGTGTAAGCATACAGCGAATGCCAGCTTTGGAGTGATGTTGTAAAGAACCTTGAAACACGAGATGGGAAAGTGGGATCCTTCAAGTCTCTTCTAGGTCTATAGTTGTAGGATTCTTTAAAATATAACAATGGCATATGATGAACACATGTATGATTTGGTTAGCCCACTACGTGGGCGATCATCTGTTTCCACCATATTTAATTTCCTCACTAATTTCATAAGAGATGTTGGCTACCAGTGACTAAAGAACCACCAAAGATTGAACCTCTAGAGAGCTGATGTTAATATCTATAATAATAATTAATATTTGAGTGCTTTCTCTGGGCCAGGCACTATGCTGAGTGCTTTACATACATGATCACATCAATCTTTACAACAATCTTATGACATAGGCACTGGAATTACCCTCATTGTAGAGGTAAGGAAATTGAGCCTCACAGAGTTTGAGCAACATAACTGAGTTCATGAAACTAATACAAAAAGCTGACATTAGAACCCATCCTGCCTGTCACTGACATACTTAACCACAATCTCATTCTGCCTCTGGATCTTACCGATAATGACAATAACTAACATGTATTGAGTAGGTACCATGATCAGACACTGGGCTAAGCACTTTAGACACGCTTCCTTATTTAAATCTGAGATTTGTGAGATTAGGATTTGGAATTTACCTATTATTAACCTCATTTTACAGAATGAAAGACTGAGCTCCAGATAGTTTAGGGAGACCAGGACTCTGACAGGAAATATTTAAGATTAACCTCCCTGATCAACGTGACCTGAGGTCTGCTCTTTCGACCCTATCTTCTCTTCCAAAGCGGCAGGGAAAAGTCCTTGTTGAATTAGTTGAAGAATTTAGCTGCTCCTTCTGAGGTCAAAATCTGAGGAAGATGATGGACTTTATTCCAGTTAAAAGGAATTCTTGAAATCACCTAATCCAGATTACACCAAACATGGACTGGGGTCAGTTCATGAAAACATCACCAGTCCAGGAGTAAATCAGAAAATAAGGACAGCGTAATGAGTTTTTCATTAGATTAAACTTATTTAATTTAAAAGTGTCCCTTTTTTTTAATGCAGGGGTGGCAATAGTAGAAATTTTTCTTTCCTTGTTTGGCAAAATACGTAGCTCATCAAAATTCTTTTTTGGGGGTTGGGAATTATACTGGGTGGTGAGATCCAAAAGTCTCTGAACCCATACCTCAGACAGAAGAGGCAGTTGCTTTCCAGAGAAGCGAAAGGCTTTGGCCCAGGTCTGAGGGCTACTCCTGACTAATTTAGAACCCTAGCCCAGGGCTCCTTTTTCCCAGCACAAATTTACTTCCACCACCTCCCTCACCTCAAACACTATCTTGGTTGCACAGTTTGAGAAAACTCAAACTGTTTTCTCATGTTTTCCCCATATTCAAAATCCTCTTAACTCAGAAACCAACTAAAGGCTTCCTCCTAGACCCCATATGTAATTACCTGAGCCAGGTCCCTCGGTGGTGAGCATCCTTGGAAAGGCTGTAGTGATGTCCCTCCATGGAGTCCCAGCAGGGTTGACCTTGGCTAAAGACAGAAACCAACGTAAGGATGAGGCTTCTCTGAGAGCAGAGAGCTTGTTGCAGGGAATCAAAGGGGCAGCAGAAATTACTGTAAACACAACAAAAGAAGAGAAACACATGCTCAACTTCCAAACCTACCTGAACACACCTTCGTTGAGAGTGTATGACAATCCAAATGTCTGACAGAGGTGTGTTACAGTCATCATTATCACAGTCTAATTGTTAATAATGGAACTTACAGCCACAGTAAATGTTTTTCATCAAACACCTCATAAAATCCTTCCAGTGGCCTATAGGGTCGGCAGTATCATATTTTACAGAGGAGGAGGTCACAGAGTTTAAATAACTTGCCCAAGATTACATAGCTGGTAAGAAGCAGTGTCAGATTGGAACTTAGCTCCATCAGCCACTAAGTACATGCTCTATAAATGTTAAAACATGCAAGCACACATGCCCCCTCTCCCCGACACATGCAGAGTCCAGTGGTTCTCAATCCTGGCTGCACATGGGGGAGAATCATCAGGGGTAGACTTTGTAAAACCCCCGCACTCAGGCTCTACCTCCAGAGATGGTGATTTTTCTGGTTGTGGGGTGGAGCCCAAGCATCTGTGGGAGTTAAAAGGTTCCCCAGGTGATTTTAATGACCGCTCAGGTACTCAGACCTCTGATCTAGGCCCTTCCTCCATTCTCTAGATCCTGGCCATGAGGTTCAAAATAGATGGAGGGAATTAAACATGGCTGGGCATTGCTGGTGAGGCCTGTTAAACTTTAGGTCTTAGGGGCCCAACCTGAGGGCTATAATTGGGAAGACCAGAGGTGAGACCAATCAGTGTATTTAATATGATCCACAGGGAAATCTCATTCAGAAAGAAAGTATGCAAAGGTCCACTCACCTGGTTTGATGACCAACTCCAGGTTTGATTTTTGATCATTCATTAGGCCTGGGAATTGGATCCGGCAGCAATAGGTCCCACTGTCCTCTAAAGTCACATTCTTTATGGTCAAGCTCACGTCTCCTTTGCGGAAATTCCTCTTTAGTAGGTATCTGCTGGATGTCCAATAGCTCAAATTCCTTCCATCAGTGCTGAGTACCAAACTGTGACATTGAAACAAAGGGCAGGGTCCCTTGCCCCAACACACAGGCACGAGATCCTCAGGGGTGGGTGGAGAGTAGGCGCAGGGCAGATCAGCATCCTGACCCACCTCAGACACGTATACTCCTTCCAAAGACCCTGCAGAAAGAGGGAAGGAGAGCAATGAGGGAGGCTGCTCCATTTCAAGAAAACTGCAAGCAATGCCTTGCAGAATAAAGATGAAACCACTACTGCTATCCTGTTTGGAGGACAGTTCACTACAGCAATGATTCTCAGACTTGAGGGGCACTGGAATCTCCAGGAAGCCTTGTTCAAACACAGACGGCTGGGCTCAACAGTCAGAGTTTAGAGTTAATTAATCTGATTAAATACTAATCAGAGCTCCTGATTTAATAGTTTGGCGGGGGGTGGGGGGACAAAAATTTGTATTTCTAACAAGTTCCCAGGACATGCTGATATGGCTGGTCTCAAAACCTCCCTTTGAAAACCAGTGCCCCAGGAGAGAACTGTGGCCGGTCCTGTGAACACCGAAGGGCAGTGCTGATGGAAACAGACAATCAGACAATGGGTAATTGTCGGCCAGGAAAAGAGCTCACTCATCTGGGCTAGTTGTCTGTTCACCAACACAGCGCAGTTATCCTAACACAAATCTCTTTTGTTTTTCAAGCACCAGGCACATAATAAATAAAAACGCTTGGCTGAATAAGAAGTTAGTGTATGGCTGTTGTGAGGTTGAAAATTAATTTATATATATATATATGTACACACACATATTCAAACAGCATAAAAAGTATATGAAAACTCTACTCCCTCTCCCTGCTCTTTTCCATTTCCCAGCTCCCTTTCCCAGAGTCTATTCATTAAGAAGCATTCATGTATTCCCACTCCCCTGCAACACACACACACACACACACACACACACAGAGAAGTCCAATATACCCATTATTCTGCTCTTTGCTTTCTTCAATTCACCTTATGACTTACAGACATCTCATATCATTATGTTTCGTCAGCATCACTGTTTGTATCATGGATATATCATAATTTCTTTACCCACTACCCTACTGGTGGACATTTAGGTTGCTTCCAAACTTTTGCTCTTGCTAGCATTACGATGACCATCCTTGCATCTTCATCTTGCACTATCTAATTCCAAAAATCCAGACTTACTTGTAAGTAGTAGCAGCAAGAGCAGGACACAGTCAAAGGAAAAATGTGAAAACATGGGTTCTGAAGAAGAAAAGGCAAAGAATGGCTCTGTTTAGGTGCCGTTTTAATTCTCCAGCTGAACTGGGTACTTCCTGGAACTGTCTCTCCTCCCCAGTCACAGGAGCAGTGGCCACTCTCCCAACTGCAGGCCCAGCACACCAGATGTCTGACGACCAATCACTCCTCTATTAACACTGTCAAGTCTATGATGACGGCAAAGGAAACCCTGCTTCTCTCCTATGCTAGACCACACACATCCTGTGAGGACTCTGACATTTATTCTGTCCGCATCAACAAAGAGGAAGCAACAATCAGAGGAAGAAAAGGATTACTTCATCAAGTGTCTCTTGGCAAGTAGAGTGAGCCCTCTACTGTCTCTGGTGAAATAATATATAGTCCTCTGTTTGAAATGGACAGTATTTATTGGAAACACAGGTAGAAACGTATCACTCATGCATTCATTCAGTCAAGTCAGCCAACTGGTGAGTCCTGTGACCAATGTTTATGAAGCACCTACTATGTGTCAGGCACTGGACTAGGAGGTGGGAAATACCACTATGAATGTTCTATTCCTTATACTCATGTTTAGGTGCCCTTTCCACTCCAGTCATGAGCCTAATTCTTAGCCTTTGCTCTAACACGAATTGGGCTATGTCATATAACCTTGTTAGGTCTGCCTCCTCATTTATAAAGTTTATAAAATGAGAAAATTGTGCTAGGTGATATATGCACAGCTCCCTGCTCTAATATTCTGACTTTGACCTGAACTTCCAAACTCTTCCACTTAGGAAAAATGCATTCCTTTCTGCAATGCTTCCTTCCCCCTCCTGTGGGGGGAACTGAGGGGACCTCAATGTTCTATTTCCTCTCATATACACAAGATGTCCCCTCTCCTCCCACCCCACAGGCTTCGGGCATTAACTGTCAGAAAGTATTGAGTTCCAGCCACACTCTCCATCACTGAGGTAACATCTCAGACCCAAACAATCTCAGCCCTGGGAGAGTAACTTTTGTCTGGAAACCTTAAAAGCCAATGGTTATTTACAAAAGGGAAGTGAGATCACGATGAAATAGTTTCTGAAAACCCTGTGGCCTTTCTCTGTCTTGTCTGCCTGAATTTCCTTGTCATTGACTTTATTTATTTTATTTTATTTTTTTCTAGTTGCGGTGAGCGGGGGCTACTCTTCGTTGTGGTGCACGGGCTTCTTGTTGCGGTGGCTTCTCTTGTTGCAGAGCACAGGCTCTAGGTGCGCGGGCTTCAGTAGTTGTAGCATGTGGGCTCAGTAGTTGTGGCTCTCGGGCTCTAGAGCGCAGGCTCAGTAGGTGTGGCGCATGGGCTTAGTTGCTCCACGGCATGTGGGATCTTCCCGGACCAGGGTTCGAACCCGTGTCGCCTGCATTGGCAGGCGGCTTCTTAACAACTGCGCCACCAGGGAAGTCCTTGTAATTCACTTTAAACCTTATTAAATGCATGTAATATAAATATCCAGCTTGTTCTATGTGTGTACTTCCATAGTGCCACAGAGCTAGCAGTTACTCAAGAGATCATGTTCAATTTCTTCATTGTATATATAAGGGAAACTGAGACCTGAAAAGATTTATTTGCCCAAAGGTACATGATTGGTCATTTCAAATAAGAACATGAGTCCCCCAAGCTCCAGATTTTTTCCATTATAAACCATGTTTCATGAATTTCATATCTGCCCTTAATATGTCTGCCCACATATCTAAAAACAACCAACAAATGCCCATATTCAAGTCTAAGGCAGACTTGATTAAACACGGGGTCAGAGGTTAGATTTACTAACAGCATGACTTCAAGCAACACTCTTAAAAGTTTTAGCCATCAGATTTTGTGTTCTGATTTTTGTTTTTTGTTTTTTTTTATTATTACTCTGTTTTCTGTTCATCTCTAGAATTGCTACTGGGTCCAAATTTATAAAACATTAACAATGTATTAATTCATTGAAGTCTAGACATGAAGGAGCCTAGAAATCTACTCTAACCCCTTTCTTTTATTCTGTGTATAAAGGACTGTTTCTGAACATTGTCATGTTCATTTAACTTTTATTTCTTGTTTTTTTTAAACTGTTTAGGTAATACATCCAAATGGCTAAAGTTTAAAGCAATATAAAAAGCTTACATTAAGAAGCCTCATTCCCACCCCTCCAAGTCCACTAATTTCCCCAACCCAACCTATAGGTTTCTATTGTCATGTCTTTTGTGTATCCTCCCAATGCAAACACAAGAAAATAAAATATATATTCTTATTCCTTCCTTTCTTAAGCAAAAGAGTATACCATACATACATTTTGCACCTTGCATTTTCTATTTACTATTTTATATAAAAATTTTCTGACATATTGGGCTTCCCTGGTGGCTCAGTGGTTGACAGTCCGCCTGCCAATGCAGGGGACACGGGTTCGTGCCCCGGTTCAGGAGGATCCCGCATGCCGCGGAGTGGCTGGGCCCGTGAGCCATGGCCGCTGAGCCTGGGCGTCCGGAGCCTGTGCTCCGCGGTGGGAGAGGCCGCAACGGTGAGAGGCCCGCGTGCCGCAAAAAAAAAAAAAAATTCTGACATACCAAAAGCAGAGAATAGTACATACTCCCAATACACAAATTTAAAATCATCAGACTTTCATTTTAAAATAAATCCCAGATGTCATGTAATTTCACCCTTACAGACTTCAGTGTGCATCTTGTTTTCAAAAAATTGACACTCTAGATATAACCATAATATCATTATCACACAAGACGTAATTAATAATGATGTTTTAGCAGCACCTGACTCTTCAGTCCATAATCGAATTCCCCTGATTATCTCAAAATTGTCCTTTTATTATAGGTTTAAGTCCAGACCTAAACAGCTCCCTACATCGCATTTGGTTGTTATGACACTTAAGTCTCTTTTAATTGAGGACAATCTTCCCTCCTTTCCCCCTGCCATTGACTAGTTGTACAAACCAACTGTCCTGTGCACTCTTCCATTTTCTGGGTTTGTCTGTTTCCTTGTGGCATCATTTAAAGTATTCCTCTTTTCTTTGTATTTCCTATAAATGAAGCTTAGCTCTAGAGGTTTGGTTAGATTCAGGTTCCACTTTTTGGCAAGAATACACAGCTGGTGCTATTCCATCACAGTTGTCTGGTTGCCCCACATCTAGAGATGCTAAGATTGATCAGCTTGCAACTTTCTTTTTCAACTTCACATTCTATGCTGAGCACCTCTCCATTTCAGCTCATATAGAATGTCCTCGTTCTTTATTATGGCTACATAGATCCCATTGGGTGAAAACACTGGGTGAAAATAACAAAGTGATCATTCCCTTGAAAAGAATACTTCATGTCTCAATTTATTTGTAAAGATGATCATAAAAGGCCCATCAAGGTCTATGATTCTTTAATTATGTGCAACAGAAGTTTGCTTTTTAAAAGGAGCCCTTGAATGTATTTTTGGTAAAGAAGTCTTTTGTATTGTAATTAATTAGTTTCTAAATTCTGTTTAGAAAGTCATATCATAAATTTTCTTAAGGGACAGTTGAGTGTTGGCTATAATTATGTGGAGGGATAACTACAAAAAAACTATTGCATATGATACTACTATAGAAATTGTTTTGCTTTTCTCCCTTCGTCAGCAGGAAAAGGGAGAGAAAATCTTAGACTCCTTAAAGATAGCCTCCAAACACCAAATGGAGACACTGGAATTATGTGTGATTAGAATTACACATTTATAGATAACTAAGGGGCCACTTGACAAAATTCATAAAATGGAAGTGAGAGAATTTTACTCAGGAGACAGGAAAGCATGGGCGATACAGATGGGATCACCTGGAAAAACTCAGTTCAATTAGAATCTACCCTGTACAATGGGGGAGCCACAGTGGAATGGATATGGGGGAGACAATAACGTCCACTAAAGCTGGAATCCTATATGTACTTAATTTGAATAAAAAATCCTCTCATTTAAATCACAGCATCTCAGTTAGGTTCTATGTATCATTAGTCCCAAAATTTTGCAAAGGTAGACACTGGGGTTGGATATAAAGGGTAAGAAGTTAAGCAACTTTGAGCTCAATCTTGACCTACAGATTACAGCTAGCCATGTGACTTTCGTTAAGAGTGCTTGTAACCTTGTGTGCCTGTACAGTACTTGAAAACTTTTTTTATTATTATACAGGTCATAGTCACTGTAGAAAATTCTGAAAAATAAAATAAGAATAAAAATAAATAAATAAAATAAAGGCCAGATCCCACTACCATGAAATACCCACTATCACCAAAACAGGTCTCCTTTCAGATATTTTTCTATAAACCTCTCTATATATACAATGTGTTAATGCCAGTACCTCTGGTGGGTATATCTCTAGTAAGAAAGTCTTACTCATGGATGATTGTGAACATCATGAACTCAGTGGGATCCAGGAGAAGGTACAAAACATTTCTTTACACACCCCAAGTCTTTTTATTTTTATTTTACTTTTATTTGTGTGGTCTCAGTGCTCTCATTTGCATCAAGTTGCTTTCAGCATTGCCCTCTGCACTGGGTCCCAGCACTGAGAGGGCTACTTCATCCCTGTGGAAAACTCCAGGTTCTCAGGGTCACTTACAAGATGAATAAATTTCTCCCTTGCTACTGCCCATCTCTCACAGCATGATCTTGGTGTTCTTATGCCAACACAGACTTCTTCTCTCACCAAAAACCCTATACTTTACTTATGTTGCAGATGACAGAAAACCCAACTCAAACTAGCTTAAACTACAGATTTATTGACTGACATTATTGAGAAGTCTAGCTTCAGGCAAGACTTGGTTCAGTGGCCCCAGTGAGGACAGCAGGGACCTGGTTTCTGGCTGTCCTGGCGTTGGCACCTTCTGCAGATTCCACACAGTGTCCTTCTCCTGTCCCTGCAGAGCACGTATCTGCACACCAAGAACATCTCTTGGCCACTCCCACACAAGCCCACAGATGCACACCCCCTCAAACACTCATGCTGGGTTACAGACTTATTCCTGAACAATCTGTGTCCATAGGTTCAGAAAGGACTAATTGGGTGAGCCCTGGGTCACATCCCCAATCTCATGCTCTGAAAGTGAGAGAAAGGTGGTTTCCCCAAAGAAAAAGTATGGTGCATTTTAGAAGGAGAAATGGTTGCTGGGCAGCAGAAGCAAATACCCAGTACAGACCCGCTCCCAGAAAGGGAAGGGGTGGGGAGATGGGGAAAGAAAACTTGCCCCTCCGAATATGGATGGTTCTTTTTCTTACAAAAACGACATTTTACTAATACGGTGCTTTTTTTTTTTTTTGCTTTTTTTTTTTTTTTTTTACTGTACGCGGGCCTCTCACTGTTGCGGCCTCTCCCATTGCGGAGCACAGGCTCCGGACGCGCAGGCTCAGCGGCCATGGCTCATGGGCCCAGCCGCTCCGCGGCACGTGGGATCTTCCCGGACTGGGGCACGAACCCGTGTCCCCCGTATCGGCAGGCGGACTCTCAACCACTGCGCCACCAGGGAAGCTAATACGGTGCTTTTTAACTTACAAGGACGCCCTCTTCACAACCCTGGGGTGATGCCAAGGAGCTCTCGTGTCTTTAGAGAGTCTTTATATTGAGTAACTCTGGATGAGTGCCAGAGAGATTAAGCTTGAGGCCACACTCAAACCAAGGCCAGAGCCAGCTCAGTGCTGCTCCTGCTCACGTAATCAAACCTTTCAGAGTGGAGGACATGGGAGGGGTGTGAAATAACTTACCCCGAGGCTCCCAGTGACGAAACTGAAAAGGGTGAAAACCATCAAGAAAATTCTGTTGAGCTATGTGTGAATCACTGTGGGAACTCCTATCGGCGTTGAAAATGGCAGTCCCACTGTCTCCTCCAGGGCGACGCTGGTGGGGGAGCTGTGAGTGGTCACTCATCCCAAGCATGTTCTCCTGTATGGCAATTCTTTGTGTTTATTAGTTTTTTGCTCCAGGTTCAGATACTGAAGCTAATCATCCTCAGTTTGACGGAGGTAATCCTCATCAATCCCAGTGAGGTCCCTCTCTTATTTTATTTCATTTTACTATTTCCCCACTTTGTCCTTGACGCACATTCTCATTTCTCTCGTCTCACGGCCATCTGCTTTACCCGAGAATGTTAAGCAGTTTTCCAAAGTGTTTATTCCAGCTTACATTCTGACAGTAAGAAGAACTCTTACGATGCCCCCCACATCTTTGCCGGTATCAG